TGCCTGGCTGGGGACCAGAAGACTGGGTCAAACCTGGTAGCTGTCTGGCGGAAGTCTGTGGACTAGAGGGTCACGTTTGTGGAGATCTGGACTGTGTGAAGACCCTGGAGAAACAACACAAACAATTGACGGTATTGTTTGGAAACGTAGTGATGAAAGCAAGAACAGAAACGGAACTGATAGCAGATTGCCATGGAGGAACCGAGGTGAATCTAGTGACTGCACTAGGATTCTACAGCATGTTTGGTTCTTTAGAGTCACTATTGAATCTAGAACAGAAACATGAGATGGTCACAGCCATCAGTGTAGAAGTATTCCCAGGAGTTCTGCAGACTGAGCAGAAATACATAGGAAAATGGAGGGAAGCAATCGAGACGGAAATGATCATCAGACACAGTGAGACTTATTGTAGACCATCAGGAGCACGATATTTGGTGGGTTCAACATTGGCTCCAATGTGCAAGAGCAGATACCCTGTACATTTCGTAGCTGTGGACGTAAAGAGTACGAGAACGATCGTGGATCAAGCCTTCTCAGTGCCGAAGTGCGTGAGACTGGCGAGAATATCCGAGAAATCTTACGAGTTGCTATGTAAGATATTCTCAGCAGTTCCAGAGAGAACCAAGGAAGAGTTGGAGTCAATACTAGGAAAGAAGTTCATGGGATATGTGAGCGGGAACTTGAGTGACTTTGAGAGACAGAAACAGAGAGGATCAACTATCACAGATTACAATGCAGTAGATGACAATGATGAAGTCCACCGAGTGATGATGGAAGTGGAACCATTACTGGAAGCTTCGGGAAAACGTAATTGGAGGAGCATCATGTTGACACATGACGAGTTTCCTTGCCACTGCTTGCTGCAGACTTGGTGGTATCCCAAGCGTAGTAATCTGATGTTGATCTGGGACTCTGGAGAGCTGCTCTCCATGGGTTTACCAGATTCATCACAGCCCATAACAATGGTGATAGTGGGAGTTATGATGGCGATACGATGGCTGGAGGCTCATGTGAGAGAAAATAATAGACAGGAGGCACCGACGAGAGAACAGTTGCGGAAATTAGATTGTCTAAAAGATTTAGATCTTTTTGAGACAATGTGCAAAATTCTAAACATTCCGATGGACGTGAAGAAGATATGGGCAAGAAAACGATTGATGCCATGGTTCAGAGCTAACATGACTGCATGGTTGTACGAATATGCGAAAAAGCATATGTCGAAGCACGGCAGGGTGCACTGTGAATATCAGCTGGACATTGGAGCAGGAGCTTTCAATCGAGCTCTCGTGACTCATCGGAATGCAGTGACCACCGGCGTGAAAAGAATTTCCAGGACGAGTGAACGTAGTGGAAAGGAGAAGGCAGAGATGTTAAAGGAAGATTTGGAGAGAAACGTGACGTTGTGTCTCCACAACAGCTTCTGCAGGAACAGAGAATCTAACGTGGATCCCCTACCTTGTTGCAAACAGAGGGTAGAAGAGCAGAAGTGTTGGAGGACGGCTTCCAACAGCGTCAAGATAGCTAACGACGTGTTGCAGGATACAGAAACTGAGAGTGCAGAGTCATTATCACAGGAGGAAGAAATGGAACATTGACGAATGACCGAAAAACAAGATGCAAAAAGAGACGAAATTAGAAAAATTTAGAAGTTTTAGAACTTCTGAACGACGGAAAAAGAAGAAAACAAAGGAGTGATGAAGAAAAAGTTAAAACTCAGAATTGTTTTATGTGTGTGAAAAAACTCAAGTGAGAAACCAGGCAACCAAGTTGTAATTGAAAACTCAAACATTTAGTTGAGTTTTGAAATTTTTGCATTTATAAATTTGCATTTTGATTTTAGTTGAGTGGCTTTAGAGACGCTCACTTACTATTTATTTAGAAAGGCTTAAGTAAAGGAGTATATTTAAATATTCCAGCCTACATGACTGTTTTTAATCAGCTAGGAGAACTGATCACTTTGTGGTGACGTGAAAGGCTTGGGTAATCTCTCGAAGTGGGAGATTGTTTCATTGTTCTTTCTAACCACAGAGTTCCTTAGTTTTAATATTCAGGACAATAACACGCAAGATTTCCGAAGGGAAAAAGCATAGTAGGATAATTTTAGCTTGTTGGTTGGCAGGACTGTCCTGCAAACCAACACCTTTTTAATCTAGGAGAAAAAGTTTTAATCGGGACATTGACATTGGAAGTCAGAAAATATGTTTTATCTTAGGTCATATCCTCAATGTGCAGATTAATGAAAGAATTTGAAGGCTATAGTGATGTGGTATGATGCCATTTATATTCTGCAGTGAGTCGATGTGACGTGGATAAGAGTAATTTCGTGCATTTTGTAAATTCTGTTCGATGACACTGTATCTATTTTACGAACATTGCGTGATTCAATGAGGATATTGACCGGACTGTCCGGGGAGTATGTGACATTCGACCAGAATGGACAAAAAGCAATTTCTGCAGATTTCGAGTTTTTAGCGGTGAACCTTCCGAGTTAGTGATTTTGAAGGATTAACGACGTTATTCGGATGATTAGTAGAACGGTGAAGGTCAAGATATTCTAGTATTTTGAAATTTTAAATTTTCGAAGTGATGACGTAACATTTCTGAGAAACGTCAGAAACGGCCATTTTGGCAGAAAAGCTGAAAAGCAACAGAACAACGTTAGTAGCGATTGCGAGAAGAACGGAAATTGTGGTTAAGAAACGACAACGAATCACGGAGTTGACCGAGAACGTTTCGAGTTGCAACTATTGTGTCGCTACAATAGTTGCAAGGCCGTTGCGAACAACGGTGAAGGATGGAAGACAGCCTTCCGGGTTTTGGAGAAGTCAAGTTTAACGTGCTTGATCCAGTGGATTCAAGAATCCGGAAGGGTTTCGGGACTGAAACTTTTATCCGTTTACATAAACTTTTAGCTTCCTGTCATGTCCTGATTTGAATTTAATTAACAACTGGATTCATTTTGATAAGGATGTGAAGCTAGGAGTTGGGGGAAAGGGTTGATCCATCTTCGATGGAAATGATGATTTTATCTACTGAGCAAAAACAATAATAATTGAATAAATAGTAGTAGCCCTGTTTTTAGGAGTGACCTCGTGGTCTGGGATACTGAGACCCAGCCATGAGCTCACTATTTCTGCATGTAATTAAGTTAATTTGAGTGTTTTGACCGAAGCCGAAAGCAGTAACGTTTTTTGTCGACCCGATGTTAGAAAAGACCACCGAAAGTACTGGCTTGGTAGAGACGGTGAAAAGCATATAAAGCTTCGTTTAGACGTTAGCCAGTCGTCTTAGGACTTAGTTTTATTTTCCGTCGATATGTATCTTCCGGGCGACTGATACAATTGAAAGGCAGTAGGATGTAGTATGATGCCATTTGTGACACGTATTGAGTTGAGGTGGAGTAGATAGATTTCATTTTTTAATGCGATTTGTAAGGTTGATTATAGAGAACTGGAACACTACTTGACGATAACCCGATGTTCTGCGATCAATAGGGACATTGATGGGGACTGTCCGGAAAGTATGTGCCATTCTGCCAGACTGGCACAGCGCAACCTTCTGGCGAAACACGAATAAACGATTAAAGGCCTTAACGACGAAAAAGTGCTGCGAAGGAGGGTAGAAATATTCTAGAAATTTCTATTTTCAAAATTTCGATTGTCGAACGGATCTTTCTCAGAACTACAATAAAAACGGCCATTTTGACTGAAAAAGTCAGAACAGCAGCAAATATATTGAAAAACAGTCGCACGATAACGATAAAAACACGAAGCCTCTTATCGTGACGATCACCCACGATAAGACCCTTAGCAGAAGAAAATAGTGAGAAGGGAGGCTTCAGTGGGGAAGCAGTGGAGAGCAGTACCCTCCCGTACCACGAATTGAGAGTAATAACGACGCTGTTTTACAAGCGTAAATGTTTTCAGTGTAAATGTGGCTATGTTGCATCACCAGACGGTAGGCACCCTTTAGTCTGTCCCAAAATTAAGCACAGGTTCACGCGACACAACAACTGCAACATAATTATTAAGGAATCCCTAAGAACAGCAGGCTTCAGTTCCACCTTAGAGCCGATCGGACTCCTTCGGTCTGACGGCCAGATGGCCTCACTTTGACATCGTGGCAGCGAGGATGCACGCTTGCTTGGGACTTCACCTGCGTTTCACGGCTGGCCAGCCCAAATATGCGTTTGGGAGTGTTGCCAGGTTCAAATGCCGCATCCCAGGCAGAAATCCGTAAGAAGAACCATTATTCCGATCTACCAACGACAGTAATTTTTGAGCCCGTGGCGATTGAAAGCTTAGGTGGAATCGGCAGGTCATCTCTAACGTTTTTACAAAACCTAGCGAGAAAAATCCGAGATACGACAGGCGAGGTGTTGGCTTTTAAGTACCTGCGACAAAGACTGGATCTTGCGATACAGCGCGGAAACGCCGGCTGTATACTGGAGGCAATATCATAACACTCTTGTAAAATATTATCTACAGTTTATAAACGTATATAACATTGTCCCAGAGACTGATATATGGTGAAAGACTGTGGTAAACTAACTTTTCAGCTACTCTGATGCCATAGACATTTGAATTAACACCGGTATTGTTTGATATTTTAGAATATGAGTAGCTAGGAAGAGGAAAGGGTCAATCCATCTCCAATGGATTTAATATACAACTGTCACCAAAAACAGATTAAAGTAGTATCCGAGCCGTGTTTTTAATAGCAATCACGTAGTCTGAGGATCCGAAACTCAGCTATGTGGTTGTGTTCGCATGAAAACGAAAGCTGATCAAAAGTCGTTTGACTGATCGCCTAAAAATAGTAACTTTTTACTTAGCCCTAAACAGACCAGAAAATCAACTGGCAAGGTCGAGACGGTGAAAAACGAGTAGAATTAAGGTAACTGACGCCTGCCAGTCGTTAATAGTTACTTTTTCTAAGCTCCGTCACTGTATAGTATTTGGGCGAATGTTACAAAATCAAACTGTTTTATGTGACCGACTGGCACGCCATACATTTCAGGTAAACGCATGGGTTTCGTGGGCTTCGTTTTCCGTGTATTTATGATGCTCCGGAAGCTAGCGCCGCGCAATTAATTGGCTTTTCCCCAGCGGGGAGTCTACTTGTGCTTTCATTAGTGAATGGTTTGATGTCGGTTTTTCAGTATCGAATGGAAGAGTCTATAATATAAAAAAAGAGTTTTTGGATGAAGACTGTTTCTGCGATCAGAATCTTGACACGAAGATGCGGCTTCGTTTCAACTGAGGCTCGGGTTAGAATACCGAATTTTAGTTCTACATCTTCTCTGGCTGTTTTGCTGTCTGCTGAAAGCCGCGAATGTCGTTACCTTCATACAAGCGGAATTATGCTGGGAGAAATTCACATTCTGAAAACCCCAGCATTTGCAGAAAGTGTAACATCAGGAGATCTTAAATGGATAAAAGAAGCTGGAGATTCTGTGCTTGTAGATGAAGTGGTTGCTGAAGTGGAAACAGACAAAACTTCAGTTCCGATAAACTCCCCTGTTAGTGGAGCTTTGAAAACTGTTCTAGTTGAGGATGGCGAATCAGTCGAGGCGCATCAGAATATTGCCGAGATTGAAGAAGGCGAAGTTGCTGCCAGCACTAGCGAGGTAGCTGAAAAACAGCCTGTCGAACAGAAAACTGAGGGCACTGTTTCAGCGTCTCAAGTTGAAGAAAAAGTTTCGGCGACAGAGTCTTCGACAGATGCGGTAAAGCCACCAACGGAGGTCCCTCCCATGCCAAAAGCTCCCGCTTCATCAAAACCTGTTTCCGAGTTGTCTGTATTAGATGCTGGTGCCAAATCCAGATCTGATCTGATCGGAGGGTTCAGTAGAAACGAAACTAGAGTGAAAATGAACAGGATGAGGCTGAAAATTGCGAAACGATTAAAAGAAGCTCAAAACACAGCTGCGATGTTGACAACATTCAATGAAATTGATATGTCGAACGCGATCGAACTTCGAAATAAAAACAAGGATATGTTTTTGAAGAAACATAATCTGAAATTAACATTCATGTCGGCCTTTTTCAAGGCAAGTATATACGCTTTGAAAGATTCTCCGGCTGTCAACGCAGTTATCGACGATAACACTAATGACATAGTTTACAGGGACTACATTGACATTAGTGTTGCTGTCGCTACGCCTAAAGGACTCGTTGTTCCGGTTTTGCGAAACTGCAATGACATGAATTACGTTGAAATTGAAAAGGGACTTGCGCAACTGGCGTTGAGAGCTAGAAACAATGAACTGGCCATCGAAGACATGGATGGTGGAACATTCACAATCAGTAACGGAGGAGTCTTTGGATCTCTGTTTGGGACCCCTATCCTGAATCCGCCTCAGTCTGCTATCCTAGGCATGCACGCAATTAATGAAAGACCGGTTGCTATTAACGGCGAAGTTGAAATTCGACCAATGATGTTTGTGGCCCTAACCTACGATCATCGTTTGCTTGATGGAAGGGAAGCTGTTATGTTCTTACGGAAAATTAAAACCGCTATAGAGGACCCAAGAGCTATGCTACTGGACTTATAGATGCAGCAAAAATTGAATCGAACGAATTTTGGCGCGTTACATTATTTCAAATTTAACCTACAATACTTAAGATTACTAAACAATGAATAAATTGTTGACTAAATAAAATGATTTTGACTTTCTAATTCAGCAAAGTATTCATTTAACAGAAGAAGCGGTAGTTGTACTTTCTAAATTCATTTTTCAGATCTTATTGTTTATTGAAATGCCACCTAAGAAACAGCCAGTTAAGACTGAACCGAAAAAGTCACAGAAGCCTACCTCTAGCGGCGGTGGAAAGGCCAAGAAGAAGAAGTGGTCGAAGGGTAAGTCGCGAGACAAGCTGAACAACGCCGTCTTCTTCGACGAGGAAACCTATGCCAAGTTCAAGAAAGAGGTTAGATCAATAACCAGCTATTAAGTACAGCCAATGCCAAGGATATTAACACAGACAATTATATTACAAATAGAATTTTAACTTCAAGGTATCATTTATCTGTTGCGTAGAGGTAGGGAAGGAGACAGGCAACAAAATAAAAGGGTTCGAACCTGGGCAAGGTTGAATTTTTTCAAATGAACATTTTCGTAAAATGCGTCCGCTCTATAAATTGAGGTTATGTTAGTTGGTTATATTCTTTTTTCAAATTGACTGGTAGTGCCTATGCGTCATAACTGGCTGGCATCACTTAGCATTTATGTAGACTCATAAGTGGCGTGCTTCACTTAACAAATTATGTAGACTCATAGTTATACTCATTCAGCTTTTCCCAGTAGCGTTATCGGTAATATTTTTGCTTGCTGATGGGCATTTTAGTGCATTTTACATTTTAACTGAACATTGTATTAACTATTCCAGAAATGTCTATGCTTGTGATTAGTAAGCGTTATAAAATCGGAGTATACTTTTCCAGGTCAACAACAGAATCTCTAGAATCATTGGGTAACATCACGGTCGCTACATTAACGAGCTGAGATGCTCAATTTCTTAAAAATTGGAAAAAATACAGGTTGCTGTTACAGTACTTTATAGTTTTTGTATAAGTACTCTTGATATCACATTTTGTCGTAGACAAATTGAATTGTCGGTCCATCATCTGTCTGCAGAGGTTTTTCTGCTTATTGTTGAAAGCTTGAACTTTATAAGATGCAAGTTATTGCCACAAAAATTTGAAGTCATTTTTGGATAACTTAATAGCTCTTGTTTTTTTTTTCATAATCTGTTTTATTTTTGCTTGAAAGGTTTGGCCCGGAGGCGATGTGATGAATACGCCTGGGACGCAAAGGTCATTGGCTCAAATCTGACCACGAGCTGTTTTTTATCAAACGGAATATTCATTTTCAAATAAAACTGTCCGGCAATTATTTGTCTGCTTATCTTTTGCCGAGTTAGTTGCAACATCTTGGAAATGTTTTTTTTTTTGCTGCGAGCATGTTTTGAATGGTGCTTTAAGTGTTTGTTTTACATGTAGGTTAACTTAATTTGGCGTTTATGTTTCCTTTTTTTCTTTTAAAACTTTTATTCGGCACAAATGATTTCGGCCTATTTTTTATCAACTTCGTGACCTAATTTTGGATCGTTTCATGTTAAACACAATTTTTGCGTTCCCCTTCGCACTTTTTAAATTGGTTGCATTTTACTCAAATTGGTTTGTTGAAATTTGTTTTTTTCTATTATTTTGGCTTGTTTTATATCGGCTTAGTAGCCTCTTTTTGCTTCGTTTGATGCGCGAAAGTTTTGTGTACCTGTGTGGGTGTAATGAGGAAAAGAGGTTTTCAATTTTTTAAACTTTAAAAATAAAATTGGCTTGTAGAGTTTCTGCTCAGATATTTTCGGCTTTGTCACCGCTCGGGTAATTTTGTTCCGATGCTGATTTTGCATTATATTGTTTAGGCATGTTTTTTACTTCATTCATTTTGATAGATTCAGGTGTATCGCAAGTGGTGCGAAGCTCAGCTTCGCCTGTGTGCGTAAATTTCTGATCAAAGCAATGCTTTTAACTGGTCGATGAATTTAGTGAAAACACGAAGACGCATGTATAGGTCGTGTTTATTTTTATATGGAAAAGTTTTTAATGCTCAAAGTTATTTGAAAGCGGCTTTGAGTTTTGGTTTCTTTCAAATTCATTTGCTGAAAGGATGGAATTTTTTTTTCCAATAATGAAAGTGCAAATATTGTGAAGACACGTAAGACATTGCTATGAAAGTGGATTTTAGATTGCTCAGCACAATAAACAAGTTTCTCTTAGATCCAGTTTTATCAAGCAGGATTAGTTTTAAGTAAAAACTATCGGAAAATTTTCTTGAAACTCACAGTGAGATCTTTTTACTTTGCTTTATGTAAGATTGGTAGCATTGGTTATCAAATTGGAAATTCCAGGATACATCTTTGTCTAATAATCACGGAATCTTTTGTTTGTTTGTTGATTAATAAGTTCAACTTATCGGTCTGATGCTTCAAATTTAGCCTAAAATTTTTCTGCCTAAAAGTTTTAATTGAAATTTTGTTTGTCTTTTTTATTTTTGTCAGCTTAGTTCCCACAATTGGGACTTTGCGTGAGTCGAAATCAACAATTTTTTACTGCAAATGAAAATGTTTGAGGTATGCATGTGATGGTGCAGGTATTTGAATTTCAAACAGTTTTGCAAAGTTTTTTTGACAAAGAACTTAATGTACAATTTTTGATCTGTTTTTTAATGATGTTTTGTCAACTCAATTTCATCTCTCTGCTTGACTGATTTTCTTTAAAATCATGATATTGGTACGATTCAAAAATTGAAAAAAAAGTTTTTTTTTATCCTTAATCAGCAATCAGGCTCTTCCTTTACAAATTAAGCCAAGACTTATACATCCAATTGAGACCCAAAATGCATACATTATAAATCGATGCGCTTAAAAATTGCAGATCGAAACAATCAACATGTACAGCTAAGTGAAATCAAGTTTTAGAAATTATACACTTCTTTCAAGTCAAATGCACAATTTATGTGCATCGACGGAGTTATGCAGATCTGCTCTTTCTCTTTCAAATTAATTTGAGTTTTGTGAATCCCAATTTTCGTGAATTCTTCTAACAGCTCATTGGTCAAAATCCTTCGTACATTAAATTTCTTTTGCATAACTTTTTACTGTTTACTGACGTTTTTCTTGGGTTTTGAAGCAATAAAAAGTATTTTTTTGTCTATGAAAAACAGTGTGTTTGCGCTTTTTCCGGCCTCTAAAATATGATCAGAGCAGTAGATTTATATCGAGCATTAAATCATGCGTTTTAGTTTTTGCTGTAGATAACTCATTGTACCTATTTCTTTGAGTCTTTGTCCTATTGTTTGACCTATTATTGGGTCTTTCCGATTATTCCGGCCTCATAAACGAGTTTAAAATTACGATCAGAGCAACAGATCTATAGCGAGCACTGAATCAAGCGTTGCAATGTACCTTGAAAAGTACTCAATGTTTCTATTTTTTGGTATATTGTTCATGAAGTTTAAGAGATTATAAATATTTTGAAAGCTAAACAATCTAGCGGAATTGACGGAGCAAGTATTTTTGTTTTTGATTAAGAACATCTACATAGTGGCTCCATGCCTTGCGTTTTTGCTATACCTGTCATTTGATTCTGGAAAATTTTCTTTTTTCCCGAAATAATCAGTTTTATCCAGTTCATAAATCTGCTGGAAAATTTGACGACTAATTGAAGAATTATATCACTTCTTAGTAGCTTCAACGAAGTCTTTGAGAGAGCCGTGTACGCTCGATTTTTTGCGTTCTTGAAAACTTAAATCTGTTTTGATGTAGCCAATATGGATTTTGAAGAAGTTTCGCTATCACAGACATTGTAGCTGAAATGAAAAATAACCTAAGGTTAACAATCAAAGAGATAGGGTAGCTAATTAATTTCAGCAGGAGACGTTGTCACAGACGTTTTGTTGGAGTTTCAGGCAACATGAAGGTTGGTTTTTGTCTACATAAGAATTACTGGGTATTTGCGATTTTTCTGGCCTCATAAATGCATCTTAACTACGATCAGAGCAATAGATCCATACCGAGCACTAAATCAAGCGTTGCACTTAATTCTGTGGAGCACTCAATGTTCATATTTTCTGGTGTGTTTTTAATGCCGCTTATGATAATAGATTTATAAATTACTTGAAAGCTTAAAATTCTAGAGCAAATGACGAAGTAATTTGCTTTTGGTTAAGAACTTATACATAGTGGCTACCTGCCTTGCGTATTTGATAAACCTTTCTTTTGAATCTCGAATTTTTCCTATGCTCCCAAAAAATTCAAGTTAATGCAGTTTCTGAATCTTGTAGTGAAATTTGCTAGCAGCTGTTGACCTTTATTACTACTAATTAGCTTTAGCAAAGTCTTTGAGAGAGCAATGTACACTCAATTTTATAAGTATTTTCGAAACTTGTTTTGTGTTAGGCAATTTAACAAGGGACGCTGCAGCTGAAATGAAAGACAAGCTAAGGTTTAAAACAATCAAAGAGACAAGTGTTACTGACGATTTTTGCAATTTAAGGCAAAAGATTTTTTGTCTATAAGAAATATTTGGTCTTTGCGATTAGTCCGGCCAAATTAATGATTTCTAAAATAGGATCAGAGAAACAGATAAATACCGATCACTGAGTCAAGCATATCAGTTGTTACTAAAGAAAGAGCACTAAATGTGTTCATTTTTTGATGTACTTTTCCTGAAGTGTTTTCAGATCAGAACTAGCTTGAAAGCTTGATATTCTACAGGAATTGACGATGCAAGTAATTTGCTGATGATCAAGAACGTATATAAAGTGGCTCCCTGCCTTGCGTATTTGATAAACCTTTCATTTGAATCTCGAATTTTTCCTATGCTCCCAAAAAATTCAAGTTAATGCAGTTTCTGAATCTTGTAGTGAAATTTGCTAGCAGCTGTTGACTTTTATTACTACTAATTAGCTTTAGCAAAGTCTTTGAGAGAGCAATGTACACTCGATTTTTTAAGTATTTTCGAAACTTGTTTTGTGTTAGGCAATTTAACAAGGGACGCTGCAGCTGAAATGAAAGACAAGCTAAGGTTTAAAACAATCAAAGATGAAGCGTAGCTTTTTCATTACAGCAAGAGACAAGTGTTACTGACGATTTTTGCAATTTAAGGCAAAAGATTTTTTGTCTATAAGAAATATTTGGTCTTTGCGATTAGTCCGGCCAAATTAATGATTTCTAAAATAGGATCAGAGAAACAGATAAATACCGATCACTGAGTCAAGCATATCAGTTGTTACTAAAGAAAGAGAACTAAATGTGTTTATTTTTTGATGTACTTTTCCTGAAGTGTTTTCAGATCAGAACTAGCTTGAAAGCTTGATATTCTACAGGAATTGACGATGCAAGTAATTTGCTGATGATCAAGAACGTAT